CTGTTGATCAATTTTTGTGGGCAAGTGGGTATTTCCACTGAGCCTCATTTAATGTCAAGTCTCCGCTGCTTCCTCTCCATGGTTCATTATTCTTTTTGTGGCACTGGGCCATTGTAACTTTTACTACTTGAATAAAATGCAATTACTAGTTTCAGGCAATTCATTGAATTGTTAGTACAAGGCTGTCATGCATTGAAATTTGCTTTATTTAACTGTGCATTGTTTGATGGGAAATGTTGCAAGAGCAGCCTCAGTTGACTTGGCCTTTCTATATGGTTGGGCTTTCAGAAATAGATGAAGGCTTGCTAGACTGCTAGGTCCTTTGTGGTGGCTAACCTTAGCGATATGACTAAGCTGAGCCAAGTACTTTTTCTTTGGATTTGGTTCGTTGGTTCGTTTGGGATTGGATTGTTCAATCAAAATCGTGCTCATCTCATATTGGTTTGACTTGGCTTGGTTAGGTTGATCAAACAGACAGTTCAAATATGTGTTTGTTATTCTAATAAGAAAGCGCTCTTAGATTAGTACGGTAGAATGTGGGTCTCCAAAGTGTGCTTCAAATCCTACATATTGTGCTTCTGTTTTTCTTAGATCAAATTAGACTAAAATAGTTTCATTGATTTGAATAGTAATCTGAATTTGACCTTTTGTCGATTAAAGAAAGGAGGAGGTCAAGAGGTAATTACGAAGCTACACATGGAACAAAGCCCATGTTTGATTTGGTCTAACAAAATCGATTCTCTTAACTGGAAGCCCAAAGGTGAGATGTGAAAGTAGGTTATTCTACTTGATCTTATTGATTGGTTACTCAAAAGAATTGACTAAGTCAACAGAAATTTTTTTGATATTCTGTAAAAAGTCGGGTAGACATGCGGAATACTTACAAAATTTCTTTATTAAAATCTAAATTTCTAGAAACCTTAATATTTTATTGATGGTTATGACTTTCTTATATATGATATATTGATGTTTATGGCTTTTTTATTGTGTTTTATTATAATTGTTTAGGTATTATTGAATTTATTGTGTTTTGTTAAGTGTTATTCGTTTATTGTCTTAGTTAATTAGTACAGGTTACTTAATTAAATTATTAAAATGATCCAAAAATTAATAACTAAAAAATATATGTTCACCTAATTTCCTACCCGACTTTCTATCCGATTATTTTGGACAAAATTCGGGTCGAAATAGTACACTTGATCGGGTAGGGTAGACCAACAAAAAAATTATTCCACAAAAAGTTAGGTAGAAAGATGGAATACCATTATTTTTACCCGAATGATAAGGTGAACACTCCTAATTACACAGTTATCCGTGAAACAACTAAGTGGGCCGCTAATTCTGAATGAAGCCCAATATTATTTTGAGGAGCTACCGGAGAGCCCAACAAACAGCAAAATATAGCCCCTCGAAAAGGGCCACCGAAGTGAATCGAATCATCAACTTATTCAAAAGCCATGGCAGATCAAGCCCAATAACTCTGGTTCAGGTTACCGTTATTAACTAGCCCACAGGCCAGTTCGTGTGTAGATAGTAGCCAATGGTTTTTAATCGCATTTACTAATCTTAAATCACCACCTGAAGAGTTGGAAGAAAAAAAAAAAGAGAGGTTAAAATGCAAAACATTCAAATTATGTATATCTCTAAACTAGGGTTTTCTCGGGAGTTGAACTTGGGGCCTCGAAGTAGTAACACAATTTGTAAATCCAAACTACTCTTAACAAGTTCGGATAACCATATCTCGAGGTGATTTGATTACATGAATTGCAGGATTTGAGTGACCTTCTCTGTACTCATGTCAATTCTAACCTTTTTATTGACGAGAATGGAACAGTGAGAATAGAGTAAAGAAAAACAATATACTGAGAATAAAACAAAGTATGAAAAGGATTAAACAAAAGAAAGAGATTGTTAATGGGTTCTTGTCAATATCTGCATATTTCTTTCCACCACTTGTTAACAAAGATTTGTAGGGTACTTAGATATAAACTTCCTTGCTCAAAGTCATTGAAAAGATTCAATATGTTTCAACCTTTTGTTTCACCTATTAGCTAGCTAGGCTTGTGAGAGGATCCTATACCTATAGCAACAACTCATAAGGAAAAAGAGACAATTACTACTTTAAGTCATGTTATGTGGGTTTGATTGGGAAAATCCACCTTTTTTTTTTTTAAGTGTGGTCAAGTTTCTTGAGCATATTTGTGGGAAAGAGCCACTTTGCATCATTCCTCTTTTCTAGTGTTAATGGTCATATATATTGGAGAATATGTTAAACCTTTCTCCTATTCATATTTCATATTTTTCTTTGTTAGGTAAAATTAATTTTAGTGATTAAAAAATAATATATACAAAACATAGTTCAAGACATACCCAAGGGATTTTCCTGAGTTATAATCATAAAAGAGTTATTTAGGANAATTTTTTGATATTTTGTAAAAAGTCGGGTAGAGATGCGGAATACTTATAAAATTTCTCTATTAAAATCTAAATTTCTAGAAACCTTAATATTTTATTGATGGTTATGACTTTCTNATTTTTTTGATATTCTGTAAAAAGTCGGGTAGACATGCGGAATACTTACAAAATTTCTTTATTAAAATCTAAATTTCTAGAAACCTTAATATTTTATTGATGGTTATGACTTTCTTATATATGATATATTGATGTTTATGGCTTTTTTATTGTGTTTTATTATAATTGTTTAGGTATTATTGAATTTATTGTGTTTTGTTAAGTGTTATTCGTTTATTGTCTTAGTTAATTAGTACAGGTTACTTAATTAAATTATTAAAATGATCCAAAAATTAATAACTAAAAAATATATGTTCACCTAATTTCCTACCCGACTTTCTATCCGATTATTTTGGACAAAATTCGGGTCGAAATAGTACACTTGATCGGGTAGGGTAGACCAACAAAAAAATTATTCCACAAAAAGTTAGGTAGAAAGATGGAATACCATTATTTTTACCCGAATGATAAGGTGAACACTCCTAATTACACAGTTATCCGTGAAACAACTAAGTGGGNCCAATTTCCTACCCGACTTTTTATCCGATTGTTTTGGACAAAATTCGGGTCGAAATAGTACACTTGATCGGGTAGGGTAGATCAACAAAAAAATTCTTCCGCAAAAAGTTAGGTAGAAAGATGGAATACCATTATTTCTACCTGAATGATAAGGTGAACACTCCTAATTACACAGTTATCCGTGAAACAACTAAGTGGGCCGCTAATTCTGAATGAAGCCCAATATTATTTTGAGGAGCTACAGGAGAGCCCAACAAACAGCATAATATAGCCTCTCGAAAAGGGCCACCGAAGTGAATCGAATCATCAACTTATTCAAAAGCCATAGCAGATCAAGCCCAATAACTCTGGTTCAGGTTACCGTTATTAACTAGCCCACAGGCNCCGGAGAGCCCAACAAACAGCAAAATATAGCCCCTCGAAAAGGGCCACCGAAGTGAATCGAATCATCAACTTATTCAAAAGCCATGGCAGATCAAGCCCAATAACTCTGGTTCAGGTTACCGTTATTAACTAGCCCACAGGCCAGTTCGTGTGTAGATAGTAGCCAATGGTTTTTAATCGCATTTACTAATCTTAAATCACCACCTGAAGAGTTGGAAGAAAAAAAAAAAAGAGAGGCTAAAATGCAAAACATTCAAATTATGTATATCTCTAAACTAGGGTTTTCTCGGGAGTTGAACTTGGGGCCTCGAAGTAGTAACACAATTTGTAAATCCAAACTACTCTTAACAAGTTCGGATAACCATATCTNACTAGGGTTTTCTCGGGAGTTGAACTTGGGGCCTCGAAGTAGTAACACAATTTGTAAATCCAAACTACTCTTAACAAGTTCGGATAACCATATCTCGAGGTGATTTGATTACATGAATTGCAGGATTTGAGTGACCTTCTCTGTACTCATGTCAATTCTAACCTTTTTATTGACGAGAATNTTTTTTTTTTTTTTGTGGATTGTTAAATCTGAAATATTTAGTGAAATGTCTTTTACCTTCATTTTCCCATATTTCATGGGTTTTTAGCATTGGCATCCACCCTACAATGGTTGTAAGCTGCAATAGGGGTGGTAATCAAGTCTGTTGTGTCATGATCTAATTCGTGCTGAGCATACTAATTAACCATAACTTGACTTGTTTAGTTAAATGTGTTAGA